AAACCATATCACTGCATTCACCAACAAGGATTAAAAACTGCAAAATAAGGATTTTCAGTAAACCCCAAAGAACATTTATATGGAGATCACAAAGATGAAGAAACAGATTAGACTGTTGTTTTAGGAGATGACTTCTCTTGAAATGTGGGTAACACCCTTGAGGCATTTCAGTAAATGGGATCTAAGGCTTTAGGAAAGGAGAATGGCTGGTTAGCAACATATATATGAAGTGAGTCAGAAGGCAGGATGGTCTTAAAAACGGGATGTGCCTGAGCACATACTATATTAGAAAGAAAAATGAGCAAGGTGTTCAAATACAATAGGCAGTAGTATGTCAAAAACTAAAACAGGGATTTTTATCTTCCTTAAAAACTACTCTTTCTGAAATAGCCACTTGTCAGGGTCTTCAATACTCTTTTCCTTGACAGGCATTATTTTGATGAATGGGATAGATTGATAGGGAGGTACAGAATGAGACACCCCCTTTGAAAAAATTATTTATAGGTAATTAGGACCAACTTTTATTATTTATTGGAGAGATAAGCTCTAGAGCAGTGGTTCTCAAACCAGCACCATAAGCATCACCTGAGAATCTGTTAAAAATGCAGAGTTTCAGGCCCTACTTCACAGGTACTGGATCTGAAACTCTGGGGGCGGGGCCAGCAATCTATGTTTTAATAAGTCTTCCTGGTGATTCTGCTGCATTGCCTTTGGGTAGTTAAGTAAATTATTTACTGTCAGTGTTTTATATGGTGTTTTTTCCTTTTGCAAATCACAGTTAACTTTCTGAAGTTTGGAAAATGTAAAATTAAAAAGGATGATGAAAGACATAGACTGTTTAAAGACATCTTCCTAAAAGGAATATGGTGCTTTAAAAAGAATTCTGTCTGGCATTTTGCAGCGCATGTTTCAGCAAGGGGTGGGAGCTTGCTCCATGTAGAGTGAAATTGCTTTTTCCAGGATGGAAGTTCCTGCAGTCCTTCACAGATGGTCTACATATTTCCATAATATTATATCTACTATGAACTTGTTTGTCATTTGACTCATCTACATAGGCTTATTATGACAAAATGTCATCTTGACCAAAGAAAGTATTTTTCTTAAAAATCTCTGAAAAGAGATCAAAGGCTTTGGCACAAGGCTTTAAATTGGCTGTATTATGTTATGCACATGTTGAAAACTATACTATTTTCCTGGGGAAAAATGTGTTTGAATAGTATCTTGTTAATTTATTTCTTTGGCTAGGCAGAGAAAGTCCTCCTCCAAAATCCTGTGGAAGGTCTATGTACAACTTTTTCAGAAACTGTCAAAGTGTTACCCAGAGTGATTGTACCATCTTAATCTGTACTAGCAGTGTATGAGAATTCAAATTGTTCTGCATCCTTACTGATACTGGTATGGTGGTATGGTAGCCATTCTATAAGGTCTGTAGTGGTGCCTTATGGTGATTTTAATTTACATCTCCTTAATGACGCTGAACATCTTTTCATGTGCTCATTTGCCATTGTAGATCTTATGATCCGACTAGTCTACTCTTTTTTATTTCAAGAGAAATAAAACCACATGTCCATACAAAGACAGGGATCCTCACTATGGTCTGAACTATGTCCCCTCCAAATATACATGTTGAAGCTCTAACCCCCAATGTGACTATATTTGGAGGTAGGACCTATAATGAAGTAATTAAGGTTAAAAGAGTTCATAAGGGTGGGGTCTTGATATAATAGGTTTAGTGTCCTTATAAGAAGAGACACTGTAGGCTTGTGCTAACTATCATGCTTCCCAACAAAGAGGAGGTCATGTGAGCACCCAGTGGGATGGCAGGCACATATAAACCAGGAAGAAAGGTTTCACCAGTAAGCAACCATGATGGCACCCTGATTTTGGACTGCCAGCTTCCATAACTATAAGAAAGTAAGTGTCTGTTGTCTAAGCCACCCAGCCTGTGGCAGTTTGTTATGGTGGCCTGAGCTGACTGGTATAATCCTTATAGCAGCAGGATTTGTAATATTTGTATTATTTCTAATAGTAAAAAACTGAAAAGCACACATATGAATGGATAAACAAATTGTGGTTTATACATACTAAGGAATACTACTGAGCAATACAAATGAATGAACTGCTGATATATACAACAACATGGATAAATCTCAATTATGCTGAATGAAAACAGACCAGATTAAAAAAAAATCTGGCACTATTATCCTATTTATAGAAAAGTCTAGAAAATGCAGAGAAGCCATACTGACAGAAAGCAGATCTGTGGTTGCCTGGCAGGTGAGATGTGGTGAGGAATGAGAGAGAAAAATTATAAAGGTACAGGAGGAAACTTTAGGGGTGATGAATACTTTGCTATCTTGATTGTAGCAGTGGTTTCATGTATACATATGTCAAACTTATCAAATTATAAACTTTAAATATATGCAGTTTACTGTATGCCAATTATAGCTCAATAAGGCTGTTTTTAAAAAAGAAAACACGTGGGATCTTCCTATTATCTCTAGGACACTCCAATTTTGTGTTAGATTTTTTTTCTTTTCTTCACTCTCTCACAAAGAAATGGAAAAGAAAATGCCTCACTCAGAAAGGGCTGTCATATGTATGAGACTTCACAGCTTTGTACTTTCCCTCCTGAGGGGCCTGGAACAGAATCCTTGTCCCCACCTCAAACCCCCAGCCTTTCCATTACCACTGGCGGTAAAACCAGAACAAAACAAAGTCAAAGGGCATAAAACAGGTAGCAACAAAACTCTAAACTGGAAAACAAGTCATTGCAACTTGGACTTTATCTTTTGTTTTTGCAAGCACAGGTGACCCTATTGGATATTGTGGTAAAGAATGGAAGTCTGTTATGAAGCCTTTCAATCACATTTGGTAATTTATGTCAGGAACGTTCTGTTACAGAAAAGCCTCCTGAGGTAAAGACGCTAAAATTCAAAATAATGTGTTGGCTCATGTCAGGCAAAACATTGACAGTACAGCCCAAAGTTGGACACAGAATTTGATTAGGAATTCAAAACCTGCTTCAATTTCACAGAAGGCTTGGAAGATACAACAGGGTTTGGTTCTTAGCTTTAGGTAAAATTCGCATTAAACATGAGGGTTTATCTATTGCACTTTGGGGATTGTGTTAATTCATGTTTAGAAGGGGCTGAGATATCAGGAAAGGAGAAGCCTTAGAAGGTCCTTTGTGGAAAATCACTATGGAAGGAAACTCCTTCTAAAGTTGCAAATTGTTCATTTCCATTCTACTCGGTTTTTTTTTTCTTAAAAAAAAATTTTTTTTAAGTTACTAATGTCCTAGGTTTTAAGCAAATTTTGTGAGTTTTGACCACCTAGCTTGTAAGTGGTAGAGGAGGGAACTCAAAACTATGTTTGATGCCAAAGCTCTTGCTCTAACACTCAATATATATAAAGTAGGGAAGTTTTCTGGGAGGCCTACCGTCAACCCCGGCCCACGTCCTCTCGGCTCGCATTAACTCGCTGCTGGTTCCCAGCTGGAGAGCACCGACTGCACCTGCTCCGAAGTCCAGCGGGGCCCGGCCTCATCCGGCGCTCAGCCTCGGCTGCTTGTGCACGGACTCGAGGACCCACCAGGGGTCACTGCAGCCTCAGAGCTATTGTGCCCGCCACTCCTGGACAAGACCCGCCGTGCGGAGGGCGTGGGACTGGGAGCGCCGAACGCCAGGGTCCGAGCAGAACTGCGCCCGGCCTTCCTAGAGCCAACCTTCCGTCTCCCCGGGAAACGGCTACAGCAATCAGAGCCAGGGCTCCGAACAGACGAGCGGCCGGGGTGGTGCGCGCGGGTTCCGGTGCGGACCTGCCCGCACCTCGCCGTTGGACCACCTCCGCTCCGCCTTCCGCTCTCAGCCGAGACCCCGCCCGGAAGGGGCGCCCCTTCCCGGCCTCTGGGCCCCAGCTTCGTTCCAGGGCTCTCTGCAGACACTCGGGCCCGGCCCAGCTGCACCTGGGCTGCTCCCGCCCGGGGCACCACCCCTCGCGCAGCCAAGAGAACTTTCCCGGGAGCCGCCGCGGCCTGCGCGTCCAGGGCACACCCCCACCCGCCCGCCAGCGCGTTCCCAGCCTGGGCGCCCGCTTCTCCGCCTGCCGGCGCGCCTGCAAGCCCTCTGACTCCCCAGTTCTCTGAAAATCCCGGAGGAGCAGCGCTCCGCCGCCGCAGCAAAGGCGTTCTCGGAGGGCCAGCTTGAACTTAGGCACACGCAACCCCCCGTGATGAGTTCCACGGTCCCCAGACGGGAGCCGCGTCCCGCCACGAGCTGACTTGGACTCGCCGGTCTTGGTAAGGAGCCCGCTGCCCTTTCCGATACTTCTCGGGGTTCCGGGTGGCCGAGGTAGACTGAGTGACGATCCTCGCCACTGGCCCTGCCGTGGGACTGGGACGTCGCGGGTACCCCTGACACAAAGGAACAGCCGAGTGTTCCCCAGTCGGCGGACCGGACTGGGGGCTGCGGGGTGGGGTCGGAGCTGGAAGTGGGAGCCCTCCGGGGACTCCACAGGGGAAGGAGGCCGGGTGTCTCGGTAGCACTCCGGCCGGGGACAGGCGGAGGGGGCTGCACAGCTCCCAAGGGTTTCCTCGTCTGGGGAGGGCCTCGAGCTCGCATTCCTCCCTTTTCTTGCTTCTTGCCCCCATTGCCAGACGACTTTTGTCGTCCCCAGGACTGCGGGAGGGGCCGCGGCGCCCCCGCCTTCGGAGGAGCCCGAGCCGCAGGATGCGCGGGGACGCGCCGCCGCCCTCTGTGCTCAGTTCCGCCGGCGCTTCCCCGGCGGCTCCCGGGCGCTGACTCCGGGCTTCTCCGCCCTCCTTCCCTCCAGCCGGCGCCGGGCGGCTCGTCCGCGCGGCCCTGGACCTCGCCGGGAACCGGTCCCCTCGCCCTGGCCCCGGCGCGGACAATAAATTAATGCCTCGCGCTTGAGGGGAGGGGGCGGCTCGGCGCCTGGGTCGCAGCTTTCTCTCCTGGCTGGAGACGGCCACAGCCAACATGGGCTGCTTCTGCGCTGTTCCAGAAGAATTTTACTGCGAAGTTTTGCTTCTGAATGAATCCAAGTTAACCCTCACCACCCAGCAGCAGGGCATCAAGGTAGGCGCGGGCCGGGGGCGTGTTCCGGGGATCGGCAGCCGGGCGGGCGCGGGGGTCCTAGGCTTTGTCTGAGGGCTGTCACGGGTCTCGGCCGGCGACTGCTCTCTGTGCGGTGGGAAGGAGCCGCAGCTGCCCTGCGCTCAGGTGGAGTGTGGACGTGTCGGGGTGGATTCACTTCGAGTCCCTTCATAAAGGGAAGTAAGTTTCACGTCTCAAAGGGTGTTCGCTCATCGACTCTCAGCTGCAACCCCACAGTCCTGCAACTGAGACCCAAACTCTTCCCGGGACCGGTTTCCTCCAAAAGCATCTAAGGCCCCCGCAGCTCCAAAGACGCGCAAACCTGAATATACAGGCTGAATACAGTGTTGAAGGCACGGTTTCCCGTGGCTTTGTTGAGGCTTTTTTCTGTTAGTGTCATTGGGGAAGTAATCTAGTTGACTCGCAGAAACACATTTACTGGGTGGCTGTGATTGTGTTCCCTGGGTTTGTAGATGAGTAATGCTACGTTTGGACGGAAGATAATTTCCAGTTCCACAAGCGAACTGGTTTTATCCCCATATTTAAGTAAACATCTCTCAAAGCGACTCGGTAAATAACTTTGCGCCTGTCTGTAGGTCATTAAAATGGAATCACTACTATTAACCTAGAGAACCCAAACAAAAAGGCTGTGGGAGATTGCAGAGATCCACTTCCTTAATTTTGAAGAGTTCTTATGTTTATGGTTGACAACCTGACCGACGCGCCTGCGCGCTTGTTTTGCTCTTGCAACCACGTAGTTACCAAAAGGTGATCGGAATTCGGAACGTTTTGTTTCTCTTTCTCCGTATTTAAATCACGGGAGCTTTTTAAGTAACCTTAGCAGCTGAGTCTGGTGAGGGGCTACCGCCCCCCCCCCCCCACTATTGTCCCCCACTCTCCATCCTGGTAATGCTGGAGGTCTGAGAAAGAAGTTCAAGCTGCCAGTATCCTCTTCTAGTCTTGTATGTCAGAAGTTAATCCTAATGGCGTAGGCCCTGGTCATTTCCTTGTGTGAATCAGTTTTTACATAGCTTTATGCACGCCAGAGTAACTGTTTCTGGCTAAAAGCTTCAGCTTTGATGTTACCATTCTTGGTGTACAGAATTCTAATTTCACAGGTGTCCTTCTTCTGCTGGAGATGGGGGCGGGGGCAAAAATGATCAATTAAAGTCACAAGATAAAGTTAACCCTTCCTTTAGGAAATTGTTTTGAGCAGTTGTTTTCCAGTAATTATAAAAAGCAAAAGTCAATCAGATTCTCGTTTGGTGTTTCCTTTAAAAGCCAGGAAAAGACTCTTGGAAAAGGGTGTTTCATAGTTTATATTTTCACCTTTTGCTTTATGTTCCACCCCTCCACCCCCATGAAATCAGGAAAAGAACTTTTCAAGATGATGTAACATTCTTTGGTGTACTGTGCAAATAGGCAAAAAAAAAAAAAAAAAAAAAACCCATAAAATTTTGATAATACATAGATTCTCTTTGGCTCGGGGAAAGAAACCATTAGAAAAAGATAACGGATGATCTGATACTAAACCAACAAAGAAATCTTTCTGAAGTGCAAAGTCTATAAAGTCATCTGGAGTGTGAGCTTCCTATTTAATCATGAAAGCCATATCCCTGTCAGCTGTGGAGCATGTACATTATTCTGTCAAGAGAGCAGCCAAGACTCGGGATCAAATGGAATAATTTTGTCAAAGAAACATGAATAAAAAATCCTGATCCATAATTGCTTTTTATAACCTGATGGTGCTTATCTTGTTTTACAAATATGTTGAAAATTGGTGAGTGATTCAAAGGCAATAGCAACTTTATAATGCTGTTATTTTGGATATGTGCCATTTAACTAAACAATAATTTAAGCAGGCTTTTGTTGGAAGTAATCATTTTGCAACAGGCTTGGCCTCTTTCAGTGTCACAAAAGCATGCCACAATTATTTTGATGGCCATATGTGTAACACAGATGTTGTCTGCTCAAGTTAACCACATTATCTGTAACTACTAGGCTACCATGAAATGCATGTGTTAAGCACCTATCTACTTGTGGTATGTACTAAATTAAACACATATGTGTATTTATAAATGGAATAATGTACGAACAGCATCTCACGTGTAGATGGTATTCAAACGTTGAATGGATATGTGTATATTATTATTCTGTACATCGCGTTTTCTTTTTAACTCCTTTAGTTATGAGTGAAATAGTAAACTAAAATGTAAATGAAATAGCCAATAACTATAATGGTGTTTCCCCTTGGAAAAGTACATTTGAAAACTTTTATTATCATTAAAGTCAAAATTAAGCATGTGACATCAATTAGCCCATTTCCCTCCTGAAATTAAAATAGAAAAATCTTTTTGTTTTTAAAAAGTATTTTCTAACATTTTGAGATGACCCTTTTCCATGTTCTATCTCAAATGAAATAAAGACCATTAATTTTGCATTAAAATTACTCACCTATTTCATTCCTTCATGGAAGGAATTTTACTGATTATTAAATAATCACTTAAGAATTTGCTTGTATTGCTGTTATAATAATGTATTGTGAGTTTAAAAAAAGATTAATTATAGTAAATTTAAGTAGAAGAAATAGAGAAGCGTGGTAAAACATAGTTTCTGTGTGCCATTTTGAAAAACACTTTCTGGATTTGTTTAAGCGCCACATTACAAAGTTAGTTATGAAGTGATTTTCTGCAACTTAGATCAAAGTCTTTCATCAACAAGAAAAAAAATTGATGTGTTTGTTCCCATGGAAAGGCACTTCAGCCTTGAGACGATGGTTACACGTCTTCTATGTCAAGATGAATAGCAACTAAATGGAAAATAATTTTCTATTAAAAAACATAATATATTTGTATTCATATTCATACTAACATTATGGAGAAATTTGCTTCTTTTTTTTTTTTTTTTTTTTTTTTTTTTTTTTTTTTAGAGGTAACCTCACCTTGACAAGCTGGAAGTCTTTGGCATGCAGTTTGAGCCCTAAGATTTATAAGAATCTTATAAATAAGGTTTATATAAACTGAAAGCTATTGGTGGTATGTTGACCCCCACACAATAGCTTTTAGCTATTTGTTCTATGCTGCTATCTCCGTTGTTTATTTAAGTAAGCATTTCTGCTGTGGTTGGTCTTTTGGTTTTTTTGAGCAATGTTTGCTCAGGGAAACTTTTGTTACATCCTTTGTCGCTCTCTGTGCTGGGGGAAGTAAGGATCTTTCTTTTTGTTGTCTGAGAGAGCAAAATTTGTGGCTCAAACTACTGGTGTAAGTTGACATTTGATTAGCAAAAGATTTTCAGGGAAAAACAAATCACAAGGTTTGATTAGAAATTTAGTCCTCAAAGTTGCTGCTACAAATATGAACTGGATTAATATTTTTGTTTCAGGGAGGCTGTCGTGCTCTGAGCAGTAATGTAATAAACACTGAGGTGCTCATTTTTCCCTTGTTGTATTTGACTAAATTAATGAAACCAATATGACAGCAAGATGGAAATTCCATTAACTTTTTAAAAGGCATTATTGAGATATACAATTTCACACATTTGAAGGGTACAGTTTACCCATTAACTTTTAAATTAAGTTACTTCCTAATCATCCTGAGGTTTCTGAGGGAATATTGTGAGTCAGTTTTGATGCTTCAATCAGAAACTTCCTAATAAACTAGAAAAACAGAAAGTGGAGACTTAAATTATATGCATCTCGGTTACCGAGAATTATAATTTTTACTCCATTTGGACTGGTGAGGAAAACGCCTAAGAAGATTAAGAAGACAGTGAAAAGCAGTAGTGGTTCATAAATCATATTAAGTATATAGGTGAATACCTGTATCTTTTAACATCAGCCTCATAAGATACAGAGTCAGGGACCTGATAAACGTAAGATGAAGCAAGTAATCATACACCAACATTACTGTTAATGTGAGATTGGCTGTGGGTCTTGATTGGTTGGTAAATTAGATGTGACTGGGTTAGATGTAGCCCTCACTGACACTGCATCTGCATTTCTGAAATTCAAATAGAATGTCCATGTTGTGTCTGTTTAAGATGGACTCCTATATTAATCCTCCTTCAAAAATTCTTTTTTGTTTTTAAAATTATTCAAACTGTTTTCAGCTTTACTAAGGTATAATTGACAAATGAAATTAAAGTGTACAACATGATTTTGTAGAATATAAGTTGTGAAAGGATTCCCACCATCCCACCACTGAGGTAATGAACACATCCATTACTTCACATAAATTACCTTTTTGTTATTGTTGAGAGTACATAAGTTCTGCTTTCTTAGCAAATTGCATTTCTACAATACAGCCTTATCAAGATCCCCAAACTGTAAATGCTCTCATAGCTAATGGCTGTCCTTCTCCAAGTGCTTCTAATTTCCTTGTTTTTTGGTGGACCACACTTTTTTTTAGTCCTGTTAATATAATTTTTCTTGAATTCTGTAATGCTAAACTTGAACTGACTTTGAACTAAACTTCAACTAATGCAGAGCTGTTAGGGGGCGCCTGGGTGGCTCAGTTGTAGGAACATGCGACTCTTGATCTTGGGGTCATGAGTTCAAGCCCCAAGTTGGACATAGTCTACTAACAATAATAATGATAATGATGATGATGATGATAATACAGAGCTGTTGTTGCTCTTGAGCATGGGTGGTGTCTTCATCCATTTGGGCTGCTATAACCCATACTGTAGACTAGGTGGCTTATAAACAAAAGAAATTTATTTCTCATAGTCCAGCATGGTCAGGTGAGGGCCTTTTTCTGGGTGAAAAACTTCTTGTGTACCCTCACATGGCAGAAGGGGCTGTGGAGCTTTTTTGGCCCTCTTCTGTAAGAGCAGTAATCTTGAAGGCCCCAACTCCTAATGCCTTGGGGGTTAGGTTTCCAACATAATGGATTTTAGGGGCACACAAACATTCTGACCATAGTAGGTGGTGCTAAGTTAAATCTAAATAGTAGAGACAGAGGTCCAGACTCTTCTTTTGATCA